TTAGTACCAGTATGTATATTATTTTATCTGTGGTACTCGTGTCATACTTGGGGATTGTTTTTATGGCAATAAATGACAAATGGTAGTCGTATGACTCACATTGCAAACCACAGAATGCGCAGTCAGTATTAGACGAGACAAAAGATGCTCCGAGATAGCATGGACACGAAGGAGTACCTCACCGACGCGACGCCGCGGCGCCGGCGGGACACCGGACCTTTGTGACGACGTCCACTTACCTAAGTACAAATGAATGCAGTACGTCCATTATAGAGAACCAGAGACGGCGCCCTACACAATCATTAAGATAAGATAACATTATTTTAAATAGATCCCTTACTTATTTCACTGGAAGAATCGCTACGGAATTGTGTTCGTATTACTATACCTTAAACACATTTCCTTTATCATTATTGTATGTTAAAATATATTGCTTCCAGTGAGCAGACTCTACATTGTCCTTGTTTTCCATTGGGTATCTCATTATGACGACCTCGGTGGTCTAGCGGTCTAGCACACCGCTTTACGACCGATGGTCGCGGGTTCGATTCCTCGCACGGCACAAACATTTGTATTTATGAGTATATTTGTTTGTATCGGTCTGGGTGTTTTCTATGTATAATATGTATTTATTTTAAAAAAATCTATGTATTTGTGTCAGTAATCTAGTACCCATAACACAAGCTTTAGCTAGCTTAACTTGGGTCTAGATGGCGCTGTGTGAATTGTCCTGAGATTATTATTATTATTATTATTAGTTATAGTAACATTTATTTACTTATGGTATCATGTACAGTTTATATGTTTATTGATCTTAAAATACAATAATGCAGGTCGAACCCGTTGGGGTACAGCAGGTATAAGATTTTTCTCAGGTAGCTATTTACATCGATGTATGTTACATATATGTATATCATAACTAGATGTGCTCGCCGTTTCACGCGCGTTAAATTTTAATATATACATTTTCAAAATTCAATAAAAGAAATAGCCTATATGCTATAATGATGCATAAGCTATATTTCTGTAAAGTTTCATCGAAATCCGTTCAGTAGTTTATGTGTGAAAGAGTAACAAACATCCCTACCCACTAACTTTCGCGTTTATAGATAAGTCTGTTTTAGTTACATTTAAGAGGTTGGATGTACGTACGTAGATATATTAAATGTAGACACCTCCACGTAGGTATACACGAACAGTTCCCGGTTGTGGCACTTTATTTTGTTACTAGGAGGTGAGCTGTCTGAGATATAATCAATTAAATAAAAATCATTTTGAAATCAAGTTACATTTATCTTGGTATGAATTAGTTTGTATGTTTGTATATTGTTAACATCTTGAATTTGTTATATATAACGATCTATTTTTTGAAGATTGAAGATTCATTTGCGGCTCTGGGTCAGGGTCTGGGAGTTCAATTTCGTTTTTTTTTCATATGGGTATTTTTTTTAATTTATTAAAATTCAATGTTATTCCTAACATATATTTGGAGTCGTACCGATACTCTACGACTCTGTCTGGTGTGTACGTTTATTAGCTTGCGTGTGCGCTTTTTGTACAATAAGTATGTAATTTGAATGTGTAGATACCTCGCTGTTATATTTATAGACTCCCGCAATATAAACAAACACACGGCTGGAAATAAAACTTTATCACACTCGGATACAACTATATACATATGTATCTATGTATGTTAGTATGAATATGTACTCACAATATGAAGCGTACGTTACATGTCGCGGTGTGTGCTTGTTGTAAATCCTGCGAGGTATAGAGATGAGCAGTGGACACCTGCTGGACACCTGTGTGACTGTCACATCATGTAGGTACATGTACATGTATCCCCGGACGCCTTTATTATTAACTACCTACTCGCCCCGGCTTCGCACGGGTGTACATGTATTATACATATAAACCGTCCTCTTGAATCACTCTATCTATAAATACTATATAGTGGTGCCCTCAATGAGGATGGAATAGTTGCATCAGTGCCTGGATTGTGATGAATTTATTAGGAACTGTGATATAAGCTGTACACGCGACTTCGTCCGCGAGGACTTTAACTATATTTTTACCTGCCAAAAAAGTCCCGTCAAAATAGACAGAGATTAGCCGGAATAAACAGTTATTTCAATGTTACAAACAGACAGACCAATTTTATTTATATGTATAGATTAACTAGATGGTTTCCAGGGACCGTGTAGTGGTCGACCTGACATGGTACATTACACGAAAAAAGATATCTAGATCCAGAGGAAATTAACTTTTTTTAAGGCAAGAACATTTTGTATACACCCAAACACATCTGTTATCTTAAATTTATGTTTGACATGTTTATTAAGACGAAGATAAGGAATCTAAATTAATATTTTTTTCTTTTATGCAAACTATAATAAGTCAGTTGGAATTATTATTTCTAATCACCAGAAATTCGTCTCTATTATCGATATATATTTGTAATATATATTATAATATATATTATTTTGTACACCTTTTCTCAAAGAGGGTGAATTAGGGTACAAAAGACAGACCCCTCACTGTAATCACTAAACTAAAACAAATATTCTTGTTTTTGAACAAATTGTTGTGGTTTCAAAAGTAAATGTAGTGTGTATTAGACAGGTGTAGATATATATGTGCTACGTCATACATGTGACATGTGCGGCCAATTGTTGAGCCGGCGGCCGAGTCCTCAATTTACCTAATCAGACGTATCCTAATAACTGCCCATCAAAGATCCGCGATAGAGCCGGCTGGACGCGCTTGTGGATTTTAGTCATCATTCGTCAGGCAGTCAGTCAGTCAGTCAGTCAGTCAATTAGTCAATTAGTTATCAAAAAATAAATCTTAAACACAACAACTGTATTTTTTTAAATAATTTCCAAATTATATAAATTGTATTTTAGCTTTTAAAATGTCTTTGGACGGAGAAAAGTTTTAAAAATGTCTTTGTTACTCGTAAACTATTAATATAGTATAGTGGACAGTTGTGGCCGGCCATCTGTACCGGTTCCTGTTAATGAGCGGTGTGACAAGTTGTAGATCTGAAGCGTATCGTATATCAATTGGCAAATTCGCAGAATGTATATAATGTAGCGATTACGGGGTCGCGAGGTTACGGCACTGTGCTTATCACCGCTGCTTCACAACAAGCACCCACCACCCACCACCCACCACCGACCGCCGACCACCGACCATCGACCACCGAGCTAGCGATCGCCCCATCATACCAGTCTCCGCTGCCGCCGAGAACTGAGTGCAGGGTGTCTTTTTTATGGATGGGTTTAAGCTGGCGGGGTACCAGTGGAGAATGATAAGATGAGCACGAGGTCTGGTCAGTTAGCCCATCGTGACAAATTCACCGGGAATTTATCACGATGGTTTCCAGGGGGAACCGACCTGACATGGCACATTGCTATCAATGGGGTCATGAGTCCATATTATTAACAATCCCCTCCCCCGGTGCCGGGTGTTGTGGTACACCAGGGAGGCCTGCGTCCCCTGGTGCTGGCTACAGAGTGTCCGAGTGTCCGAGTGTCCGAGTGTCCGCCGGCGGCCGTGCTCCGCTCACTCAACGGGTTATCACGCCGCTAGTGTTTACATCTCACTAACACTGATATTGTCGCCTACATCCGTGTGCCGCCAATTCCGTATTTTCCCTGACACTCGTCAATGCCTATTAATAACAATTGTCCGGACGACACAACCGCTGGCCCCCGTCGTCGCTCGCGGCCACCACCCGCACACTGACTGCCCATTATGGTGCACCACAACACACACACACACACACATCCGCACCCAATTTGTGTGTGTCTACAAATGCAACGTGCACATACATACATAAATGTGACAGCATTGATATGTTAACAATTTTCAGAACATCAAAATCGTTTGTGTTGTTATTCCGGATGCTGGACATACGTAGGTATACTAATAAAAGAACCTGCACACTCTCTCTCTCTCTCTCTTATGATGTATGAATTATTACGTTTATAAAGGACATTCAATATTAGACTTCAACTAAAATATATAGTTACATCATTTTTTTCGTTATATACACTCGAGAGCCATGAAACCGGGTCACTTCATAAAACCTATAGATATATAGGTTTTTTCAGAAACTAAGAATGCTAACTTTATGAAATAAATTGTGTTTAATAGGCAATATAACACCTCTTATATGAAAGTAATAACATTTTATAATCACTACATTTTATTTATAGTATTACAAATTACATAAAGAAAAAAAACTGCTGATCACAACTTAAACCAAACTTTTTGAAAAAGTTTGTATTAAGTTATTAAGTTGTGATCCGCAGTTTTTTTTTTGGTTGTTTTGAATACTCATCATCACCTATTGCTGATACTTATCTAGTTTTACAAGTTTTATATGAAGTAGAATATGAATGAAATCACATTATCTGTCCTAACGTATTTAACAGCCCTCATTAAACATTTGCTGTTAAACGTTTTTTTTTTAGTAGTAACAATGCACGAGCAATTAGATAATGTTACTGAACACTACATAACTGAATCGCAGCAACGGATCCGCTGACGTCACACGCCTCTATATCACTCAGTAGGAGAAACGTAAAGAGACATCGTTATCTAATTAGTTGATGTAGGTACGAGTGCTGTGTTAATGCCGAGTCACAAGTTCAAGTACTCTCCTGATAATCTCTGCCGACAATACTGCGCGGACGACTCGCCAATTTTGGGACTATATTGTTTGATATTGAAAAGAAATGGTAGTGTGCGATGAGAGCACGGCGGCGGCGACGGCCGGCCAGCGAGGGCGCAGGGCTCTGGGGCGGCCCGGGGGGGCCCGGGGCCGCAGGGGGCGGGTCAGCGGTGCAGGGTGGAGGGCGGAAGGTGCATCGGGCAAGAGGAAAATTTCACCTTGAGCTACGTCTCCCGGAGGTTTGTTATCGGCTCTCGGCCGCCCCCCGCCCCCCGGCCCGCCCCGCCCCGGCCCGCTCTATATAACCGGCCGCGCTCCTCCCTGCACATTCATTCTGTGTTGCAGGCCCACTGTACCGTCCACTGCTGTGTTACACGAGCTCCGTTCCCGTCACATTACCCTCTACCAGTATGGCCGCCAAGCTTATAGTTATTTTCGCCGCATGCTTCGCTCTGGTAAGATCTTTACTTTACAATTTTACTCTTGTGGTACTCTCTCGGGTGGTCGATAGAACCGCTTCCATTATAATATGTATGTGTGTTGGGGTGCAGGCGCAGGCCGGCACGGTGCGTCGTGAGGCGCCCTCGCCGCTGCAGGACCTGGAGAAGCACGCAGCCGAGTTCCAGAAGACGTTCAGCGAGCAGTTGAACGCTTTCACCAACTCCAAGGACACGAAGGAGTTTAACAAGGCGCTGAAGGACGGCTCCGATACCGTGCTGCAGCAACTGAACTCTCTCGCTTCCACCCTCCAGAAAGCGGTGAGTACCCACTCTTATACTACTGACTAACGATTGTTTTTATTATGTTACTAGCTACTCGCCACGGCTTCGTCCGGGTGTACATATATTATACATATAAACCTTCCTCTTGAATATCACTCTATCTATTAAAAAAAACACCGCTTCAAAAACCGTTGCGTAGTTTTAAAGATTTAATCATACATAGGGACGGACAGACAGCGACAGCGACTTTGTTTTATACTATGTAATGATAGCACTACTTTAGCCACACTTTACATATATATTATGTGAAAATTGAATCCTAAAGTCTCCAGCCGTGACTGTGTGATACTACAAACATAACAAACAAACAGACACGTCACGGTCCCTCTATAGATGTGTAATGATACAACTGAAACGATTATAGTAGGTCTTGTTGGTAGCCGGTAATTATAATATGTATGTGATCCTACATATACTTATTTGTTATATATGTATCTATACATCTATACATATACATAAAATTGGAGTGTCTGTTAGTAATATTGAAATAACCGTTTTTTTTTTACTATATGCATGTGAATATAAATACTCTACATACAACAAAATACCTTTTTTTTTTTAACATTTTTGTCTGTCTGTATGTATATCTGTTAGTTCCGGCTAATCTCTGAAATGGCTGGATCGATTTTGACGGGACTTTTATTGGCAGGTAGCTGATGTATAAAAGGAGTAACTTAAGCTACTTTTATTTTAGAAAATTAATTTAAATTCCACGCAAACGGAGTCACGGGTGCAGCTAGTATTTAAACTGATAAAATACAGGGATAGAATTAAATTATTGTTATAAATATCTCAAGTTGATGTTATTTTAACTAGTCAGTCAGCAGTTCAGTGCCACTAAATTTATTAAACAGCGCGAGTAATATTTGAAAGCGCCTTAGTTTGCAGTTTTGTAATAGAAAGTAATGAAGTGTGTTTATATCGGCAGTTGAACGACGCCAATGGTAAAGCGAAGGAAGCGCTAGAGCAGACCAAGACCAACCTGGAGCGAGCGGCGGCCGACCTCCGCCAGCGCAACCCCGAAGTGGAGAAGCAGGCCAACAACTTGCGCGAGAAGCTGCAGAGCGCCGTGCAGACCACAGTGCAGGTAACTACCACCCACCGCCGCTCACTGACCACACACATCACTGCACCAGATCCACCACTCTCCTGGTAGGTATCTACCAGTTGGAGGACAAAGAATAAGGCTTAACGCTGTATGAACGCGACAGAGAGAAGCCTTGTTTAAAGTTTACTTCTACCTAGCCCAGTAATTTCTGACAACAAAACGTTGTGACATGCATCTAAAAGACAACCAGTGCCGACTGCGACACTGGCCCACGGCACGGGGTGTGACCGACGCACGGCCAGTCTCTACTTGCAAGCAAGTGTTCCTGTATCCACGAGTATCACAGACATAACTAACCACTCTAACCACTCTACCCACTGCCGTCAGAGGCCAACAACACTCAATGCTACTTTCAGTTACATTTATAAAAACTATCATCCAAAAAGTTCATTGTAGTGATATTTCTGTAACGTCCTAATAAGTACAACAACTACAAGTATCCTATAATATAAATAAGTTTGTGTGAAAGAAATTCGATGGATAGTGTCACACAATGTTCGATTGTAATGTTGCAGGAGACACAGAAGCTGGCGAAGACTGTGGGCGCCAACCTGGAGGAGACGAACAAGAAGTTGGCGCCGCAGATCAAGGCCGCCTACGACGACTTCGTGAAGCAGGCCGAGGACGTGCAGAAGAAGCTGCACGAGGCGGCCAACAAGCAATAACACCCACACCCACCCGCCAACCGCCTCCATAATACATGTATATATATATATATATTATTGTATGAATAAACAATATTATTAGACATAACTACGGCCTGTTCATTTGTTCTACAATACAATACAGTAATAATAGTAGTGAAGGTACATGTTATGGGCCACATCATCCCTGTCCTCAGTGCGTGCACCATACACCATACACTGTAATCGTAGCTCTTACCGACCAGCGGCCAAATGGAGCTAGCTGAAGTCTGTGTAGAAATTCGCCAGTTCCCCGAGATCAGAGCCCCGGGATTCATAATATTAATACTAGATTTAAAGACAAACTTGCCGTCCCCCCACTATCGTTTAGAAAAAGTCAATAGGACTTTTATGGGAATAGGTATAAAAATTTACAATAAGATACCAAAGGATATATTGGAATTACCCTTAAATAAATTCAAAACATCTGTTAAATCATATTTACTGAGTAAAGCCTGAACTCACTGAACGATTACTTGAATGACGAGCGTGCACGGCAATAGTTGTGCATGCACGGGATTTTCATTTAATGTTAGACATAGACACCTATACATGTAAATATACATTGCAAATAAACTGGCTTAAAAAAAAAAGTAATTCAAATGAGTTTCTTGCCAGTTCTTCTCAATTGGATGATGAGAAAATAGTATAAAAAAATTTAACGTTTTATAAGCGGCTATAATGTCCTACATGAATAAACATTTTTTGAATTTGAATTTGAATTCCCGTTAGTTTTGTATCAGTGTCGTTGGGACCAATTGTTGGGACTAATTATGTAACACCATATGATGTCGTCTCTGTTGAAGTTGTGATGCAATACAACAATCATTACAATTTAAAAAATGCTAATAAATATAGTGAGATCGTATAACGGCAACAGAAATCATTTCTATCGATGAAACACTACTATGAAGTTGCAGCCGAATATTGTTAATCCGACCAATTTAAAAAGTGAGTACATTAGATAGCTTAGAAGAATACATTTTAAATTATTGGGTTAATACACTATAGTCGTATTTTTAATTAGACGAAGTCAAGTGACGTTTACTGTGTTGTCAGTATTTGATGAAATAAAAATAGTGTTGTGACAAAGTGAATCATTGATAAAACTCCTAAATTAATGGAATTGCCTCGATTGTCTAGTGAATAGTTAGTGTGCCGAACTGTCGATATCGGGTACGGGGTTCGAATACCGAGTATTTTAAACATAAAGAAAAAATTGCGTGGAAACTTTTAAGACTGCCCTATTTACAATTCATCATGTAATTGAAACTATAGATGTATAAAATATAACAATATATAACATAATATAGTTATGTAAAATAAAAACTTCGCTTATTACAAAATTTGTTTTTATTCATCATCAGATAAATTCAAATTCAAATTCAAATTCAAAAATCATTTATTCATGTAGGACATTTTAGCCGCTTATGAACGTCAAATTTTTACATTATAATTTAATTTTTTTCCCTACCGTCCAGTTCGGTATATAGATCCAATTGAGAAGAACTGGCAAGAAACTCAATTGAATTACTTTTTTTTTTTTTAAAGCCAGTTTATTTACAATGTATTTTTATATAGGTGTCTATGTCTAACATTAAATGAAAATTCAGTGCATGAACAACTATTGCCATGCACACTCGTCATTCAAGTAATCGTTTAGTGAGTAATAGGCTTTGCTCAGTAAATATGATTTAACAGATGTTTTGAATTTATTTAAGGGTAATTCCAACATATCCTTTGGTATCTTATTGTAAATTTTTATACCTATTCCCATAAAAGACCTATTAACTAAAAAGTTAGAAAACTAAACGAATTTTCTAAACGATAAAAAAATCATTGTCGCTTTCAGTGACATTAATTATAAATCTGTCTAAAAATTGATAATAATTTATCTTTGAAACAGTGTTTCGGTCCACGTTTCTCCGGAGACTTAAATTGTTCACTTTGTATTATTTTAATACATTGTAGACTGAGGTCACACCAATTCCCAAAATGTCAGCTGTTTTCGAAATACATTTGATTTTTTGGGAGCCTCAATAGGTAATAGTGAAGCAGCTTTCTCAAATACGTATTTGAAGACGTTTTGTATCATAAGTTTTTGGGTAACGTCTTTCTTGGAGACAAGCTTTGGCTTGACGTGCTTGGTTGAGGATTGTTGGAAGTATAATGCTGGCCATCGTAGAATTAGTTGTTTGTACATTTTTATAGAATATGTCATTTAGATTATCTCAGTAATGTTTGTAATGTCATATTATTATAAATTTTATCATTTTAATATATTTTAATATTTAATCTGCTGCTGCTTTCTCTTATTTCCAAAAGGTTATGGGCTAAAACGCGTAAAAATATTGTTAAAAATATATGTGTGATATTCGAAAATGGGTGAGTGTTCAAGTTCGAGAATTGCAATGGAAAAACTGAAAGGTACCATTAATTATCGAGATTGGGCATTTCAAATGCAGAATATACTCATATTCGAAAATTTATGGCAATACGTTACTGGAAAACCTGATGCTACCAGCGATTCTCAAAGTGGAGACGGCGTAAGCAATGAGCATATTCGCAAAGAAGAAAAAGCTCGACCAAGGCTCTGTTTAAGCGTCGATAAGTCATGTTATGCTCATATTATACAAGCTAAAACCGCTAAGGATGTATGGGTGGCCTTGAAAAAGGCATATGACGACACTGGTTTGCATAGAAGGTTGTCATGTCTTCGAACTCAATGTTCAATCAAACCAGAACAATTCGAAACCATGGAAACATATGTAAATGAGATTCTGTCGCTAGCTGATCAACTTAGCAGTATGAAGAAACACGAAATGAAGTACATATAAATTTTATCATTTTAATATTTAATCTGCTGCTGCTTTCTCTTATTTCCAAAAAGGATCCATATTGTTTGTATGAAACAATGTAGTAAATATACAATATACCCAACAATTACCACAAACACAACATGAGGAAAAACTTAACAAAACAGCGTGAGCGCAAAAAAAACATTCGTGCTCTCAGACCAGAGGTTAGAAGCCGAATTACGAACAAAATGGCGACAGACGCTCGCGACGTTGATTTGTGTTGGCACTAGTAGCCGCGCGCTTTGTAATAAGCCATCAAAAAACTGATTGTAGTTACTAGTAACTTATATCAGAGCACTTTTATACAATTTTATTGTAAAATAGAAATAATATTCTTTTGTAGTTTGAAATGATTAACTATTCACATGCATTGTTCATTGATCTGACCGAGAACTGAACGCATCACTATTACTTTAAATATGGCAACATTATTTTACAAAGTGACATTAGCCACTGTCAGCTAGCTTCGTCTAATTAAAAATACGACTGTAGTTACTTGATTTGTAGTGGTGAAATGCAAAACGAAGCTTTGAACACGTTTAAACGTTTTAATGGCGGACAGTTCGAACTAAACGCGATCAGTTTCATTGGTGAAATCCAGCCTTGAGGCTGGTTAGTCTAGTTGACACAACTTTTTTTTTTTTTTTTTTTTTTTTTTTTTTTTTTTTTTTTTTTTTTCTTAATTTGGACCAACATTTTTTCTTTAATGTGATTTTGGACAAAAATCAAAGATCGAATTGGCAACACTGATGTGGTGTAGTGAGTCGTGAGAATTTTCCCAATTTAATAAATTTAAAACCCTTTCACTACTTTCTACATAATCTATACATATTTATATATCTATAATATAAAAATGAATCGCTAAATGTGTTGGTAAGCGCTAATCTCGAGAACTACTAAATCAACTTCGATAATACTTTTCTTTTTTTTTTTTTTTTTTTTTTTTTTTTTTTTTTTCTTCTTTCTTTCTTTCTCTACGATTCTTAATCATACTTAAGTCAATTTGAACTTTAATACCATACCATAAAGTTCAAGTGTAAGTAGAGACGTTCCGGGAAGGCACGTGTCAATATTAGTCAAAAACAGGTTGTCAGTGATTTATTGATTTATTTAATTAACACAATATAAACTTAGAGCTAATTGCCAACACGTTTATATTTTAAAACTATTTATACTACTTAAAATTATACGATGATAAAAATATTCTTATTTTAGTAATTATGGAAATTTAGTCATAAAAACAAACAAATTGATACCATAGCTGTTACCTCCAGAGCCAGTGTACTCATTGGTTTTAGGAATTTAGGAATAGAAACAGACTACATACATACAGCTTGATGTATTTAGATTATTACTGTACTTGCAGCAGCACTGTGTTCCTGTGGTATGTAAGGTGACTAGAGCCCCCGTGGGGATTGGTTGTGATGGTATTGGAGGACCTGTGTGTTCAACAGTGCCGCGGGATTGCATAGGCGCGACGTGGTGGCGCAGCGTTCAGGGAGACCCGGTGAAACGGTTAACGGCTGGCCGCCCGCAGGTTGTTGGGTTCCCGAACCCAGGGATTACTTAATCTCCGCCCTGGCTGAATCACCGCCTGCGCATAATCCCTGGTGTAGTAGTCGTGCCGGAGAAGGAGACCGGAGTGTACCCGGCTGCTACACCAGTGGGGGGACCGGGGGCCCTTCCGGCCGCTGTGCCACCAAATTGCCAAACCTGTGCAATACTGGGGTGCGTTGATACATCTTTTGTCCTTTCTAATACCAGCGCGATCATTCCCCTTCAACCTTAAAAAAAGAATACCCAAATGGCCAGAAAATAGAAAAGGAATCGCAGTAAATCAGCGCCCCTATCCACTATTAATATGGATTTCTGTAACATCAGGGGACTACACGGAAACATCAATGCGGTCCACCATCATCTCGAGACCGCCAAGCCGACCCTTCTGTTCCTTACGGAGACACAGATATCCTGTCCGGCTGATACTTCGTACCTTACGTATCCCGGGTATACACTTGAGCACAGATTTTGTGCGTCGAGCTGGGGTATGTTTGTATGTCCGGGAGGATATTTGCTGTCGCCGCCTTCTTGGCCTAGAAAAAAAGACCTGTCAGTACTATGGGTACGCGTAGATCAGGCTGAGTACACCGGTATCTACGCGTGCCTATACAGGTCTCATAGCGGTGACGAGGACACGACTCGTCTGTTTGAGC